AGTTCATTGTCCGTAGACGGGTAGAAAAAACCCTGCCGCAGTGTATGTCGTCATGACTATGCTATAAAATAAAGTCAAAGAAGGGGAGCAATCTAAAGGGAGCTTATGAAGACGCAGATTTAAGCATGACACGCGAAGATGGACGCATACGTGGTGATTACAAGAGTACAGAGTCGCTTGCTACGATTATGTGTGCACTAGCCGTTTGCGTTTTCTTCCTTAAAAATATATTCTCGCTTATTCACACCTCTTTATAACGGAAACCAGCGAGAAAAATGGAGGTTTTTTTTTCAAATCGCCGAGTGACAAGCAGGATCGACCGCCGTTGGACGAAGTCCAATGAGGGGGTCGTAATCGGGAAAGGGGGTAGAGTTCTAGTTCGGCGAGGGGGGTGGCTTCACCAGCTATTATCCACATACGAGTGCATGGTGCACGTCATGGTGGAGCCTACTGCGGAAAGGTTCATAGTTAACTGTTCCCGTACACAAATATTGCTCTACAGAAAAAGCGATGTCTTTGAACTGAACCAAGACCACTTGGATAGATTGACTTCCAAATTCTTCCAACAAAATTCTTGAAGATTTGTCTGTCGGCGAGTTTTTGAAGAGTTTAGCATATGTTTTGAAGCGCAGCTTGTACCTTCTCATGATGATCATTACTGACCATGAAATTGAGTTTGAAGAGTGCTGTAAGTGTTTGAATGTTGAGCGTTTTCGGGTGAGCAGCTGGGAAAACTAATGGAAAAAATGGTGCAACGTGGCGACCACTTTTCTCGACCAAGATTGAATTAAGTTCAAGCATTCGCTAGTTTTTTCCAGGGGTGAACCCAAAAAAATCAGCGCTTTGCCAAAAATCGAACCAAAGCTGCTATAACTTCCTACAGATTCAACTTTTTACCATTCTCACCCCCCTCGAAAAAGCTAATAGGTTAGAGACGGGGACAAATGCCCCAAACGGTCCAACTGGGCAATTTTGTCTCCATCAAGTTTGAAATGAGTGCAGTATTCCTTAGAAAACTCTGACCTTACCGTTTTTTCAGGGGGAAAAATGGTAAAAATTTGAATCTGTAGTATGCTATACCAGCTCAAACCCCAAAAAAACCAACACTTTGCCAAAAATCGAGTTGCAAATGCCCCAAAACGGTCCAACGGGGCGATATTTTGTCTCCAGCAAGTTTGAATTGAGTTCAAGCATTCGCTAGCAAAGCATTCACCTTCTAGTTTTTTTTTCAGGGCTGGAGAATTGTAAAAAGTTTAATCTGATGAAAGTTATAGTAGTTAAAAGCCAGCATACTGCGTGTGCACAGAAAATGGTCCAACGGGGCGATTTTTTGAAGAGATGAACATTCACAAGTTTGGGTAATTTTAAGAATGAAAACAATTAAAGTTACTAGATTCTCTTACTCTTACTCTCTTACTACTCCTCATGAGTTCCCATGTAAAGAAATCACGACTTTTCAAATGAATAATGATGTTCAATCTTCTTTCCTTCACCCTCTAGTAATTTTTTACAAATGCTCAATAACCACGGTTTTACTCAGCATGTCAATGAATTCACTAGGGGGCGTCATTCACTTGACTTGTTGTTTTGTAATGAAGCCGGTATTATAAATCAAGTCGTTATTTCCTCTCCACTGGGATCCAGTGATCATGCGTCTGTTCACTTTTCGTTAAAGTTTTCAAAAAGTAGTAATAAATATGTTTATTCGCGCGATTTCCGAAACGCTGATGTTCGCGGAATCACCTCGTATCTGGATAATGTCGATTGGTTAGGTGTTTTTCAATGCTCTCAGTCAGTTAATGATATGTATGAAACTTTCCTTTTCATTCTTAATCATTGCATGGATATCTTCATTCCTATGAAGAAGTCGCCGATCTGCCTCAAGTACATTCCTGATTACCTAAGGCAATGCTTCAAACTCAAAGAGAAAGCATACATCAAGGCTTCTGCTTCCCATTCGGAGGAGGATTGGATTTCCTACAAAATCAATTGGCCCAAGTTATAGCAAGAAACTTTTCCGATTTAATTGTTCCATCGAGAAAAAGAATTGGCTTCTAGAAATAATCTGCCTTTACAGATATTTACAATAGACTCAACCAAAATGAAGCATTGGATTCCTTAAATCCTTTGATGGGACTATTTTCACTACTGATTGTGCCAAAAGCTATTTGCTTGCTAATGTGTTTGAACCGTATATCAGATTGTACAATGTTGATTCCCCCTCTCTTACTGGTATGAGTTTCCCTGAAAATGGTTGATTCAGTTGGTTCGATCGTCAGAAATTTTCTTGTTTACTATCTAGGTGGCCATCTGTTCGTTACTAACCACTCCGGACGGTATCCCTTTCCAAGTTTATTAAAACTGACTCTCGAGCATTTCCTCCTCCCTTGAATACTCTTTAATTAATATCTTTCGTTGCTGAGGTTCCCAAAAGGTGAGGCATGCTTTGTCATCCCGTTGAAGAGAAGTCTCCGTCATCTGACCCTTGCAATTATAGGCCAATTATTACGTCCTTGTTCTGCAGATCTTTGAGAAAATCATCAAAAAGAGAATAGTGCTTCCCTAAGAGAATATAGTGTTTTGCCTAACTGTCAACATGGCTTCAGAAAGGGTAAATCCACAGAAACTTCAAATGTGGAATCAATCAATGATTGGTCTTCTGCTATTGATTCTAAACAATGTAGATGTTATTTATCTTGACTTCCAAAACGCTTTTGACAGGGTACCCCACGGTCTTTTGCTATTGAAAATTAGAGCACATCGGTATTCACTCTAGATCATCAGCTGATTAGAGCCTTTTTACCGATCGTACGTTCCAGTTTATTGTTGGGCTGGATTCTGATGTCAAAAAAGCAGTTCCGGAGTCCCCCAAGGAGGAGTATTCTCCTTTATTGTTCAATATTTAGTCTATAGATTCCCAGGGGTTGTAGTTAGTGATGGTATCAAATGTAAAAGTTTGCTGATGATATAAAGATATTTGGCAGGGCTGACTCCCCTTTGCAGAAAGTATTGACGCAAAACCAAATGGTCGTCGCGTTGGAAATTCCTCTTTCGGTTTCGAAATCGAAAACACTTCATCTTGGTCGTAATAATCCTCTTAAAGTGTATATATATCTCAGGTGCGCCTCTTGACAATGCGGACGTGTAAGGGATTTAGGTTTCTGATTGATACAAGTCTCTCTTCAATGAACACTGTCGATGATTGCCAACAATGCCGAGCTCAGACTTTCCAGTGCTGTTCAAGTCTTTTTGTTCTACTGATCCTATCCCCTCGTCATTGAAAGCTTACAAGTCATATGTGAGACCCATCCTAGATAACGGCACTGTGTTTTCTCTCCTCACAGAAAGCCCTCGTGGACAGTTAGAAAGAGTCCACCACAGTTTCACCAGAAAGTTTTCATACGTTCTCTTGGGTTTACTTATGGCAGCATCCCCGAGGTTATTTGGAACAAAATCTTTAAGCTCGAATCTCTCAGTTCTAGAAGAAAGCGTAATGACCTTTTTATGGTTTATAAAATACTTCATGGTCTAGTGGATCTGAACTTACATGACTTTTTCCGTATGGTCTTCTTCTACCAGAGGTCAGAGGCTCAAACTTGTGCTTCATCAGCCTAGGACTGTCTTGCGGCGCGGTTTCTTCACTTTCAGGGCTGGTCTTGAATACACTAATTGAGCAAAAATGCAAATTCCGGCTTGTTTTTCAGGCTTCAAAAAAGTTGTGTATCGTTATCTTAGCCAAGACAATTCTTGCTTGTGATTTCTTGTTTCACTTGTTTTAGAACCCATTCTCATCATATCCTTGTTAACTTTCCAATTGGCTGTGTTGGTATGTTGGTTACATGTTCCAATTTCAGTTGTTTGAAAATTATTTCTGATTTATTCTTTCCGTCTATGACATGTGCTTGCGCATGTAATAAATTTAAATGTTTAAGTCTGCATTTCCTGAACTCTTTTCTCTACTCCATAACTAGAAGGTTGAAGATACTGCTCAATAATGGTAGTTTTCTGAAACTGGCCAGCATCGTAGATTATAAATCACCTAATGTTTCGGAAATTATATGAGTTAGAATACACTCACTGAAAATCAGTAGTCCGTGTGGTTGTATCCGCGCTAGGCTGAGGAGTGCGCGCCAATGCTTAAAGCGACGCTATCGCATCCAATTCGGAAAAATAGAGTGAAGACTTTATATTTTTTTAATCAGTTGATAGTTGCAGGCCAAAATCTAAACTTGAGGTTTCTTGTTATAGTCTGAACTACTAATTTGAAGGTAAAGAATTTGGTTTTTTTCTGAATTGAAATTGGAGGTCAAAATTGAAAGTTGACGGTTCAGGTTTTGAAGCATATTGGCGTTTGGGCTTTGCAGTAATGCGTATTCATGCAATAAAACTAGAGAACCATAAGTATATACGCAAACACCCACACAGAAATTAAGAGTGTACAGTTCATAATGAATATGTGGAGGGCGGGAGCGTGTATCGAGACTCGACAAGAGAGGGGTCGCGAAATTTCGAAATGGTACATGTTCGGGCGACCCTGATGACAACGTAGTCAGTGGTTGCCCCAATTAGATTAAAGCAATTCTAAGTGGAACGAAATGAAAATGATAAATTATTTTCGCAAATAACATGACAGACATGACAACGAAAGTTAACATTTTGACGCACCTGTTTTAGGGCCGACTTGACAGTCCTGCAAATCCCGACTTGCTAGACGCTATTCGTGATTGCTTACCTTGCGGTACGCCCAGAACGTTCACCTGTGTAAGAACGCATTAACGTTTCCTATCTTCTCATTCTGCGATTTTCGATTTCTCGAGAGTAGATACGTATCGACCATGTGATTTACCCGCGGATCACAGAGCGCGAATATGAGAAAATTGCAAGTCGCAAGGTCGAGAAACTATGACCGCAGCATGAGATTGCGCAGATGGTAGGAAGCATCACTTTTACCATTAAATTCTAAAAATTTGCCAAACGAAAACACGGAGGTACACTAGCACAGAAGATCGTAACGACACAACTTCGTATGATGAAATTGAAGGCTCCCCTTTTCCTCTATTCTTTTTTATGTGCAATTCGCCTGAACCACATCCTCCCCTATTTGCGTCGCTACCTGTCCTGTTCTTCCTCATGAATATTAATTATAGAATCAACTCATGTATTCAACTACACAATGCAAAAAGAAGCTTGCAAACCTCTTCCTTCCACTTCTGCCTTCTGTAGACGTCCACGTGTTCATGGTCGTGACCATACCTGACTTGCTGTCCAAAGCGCTCAGCCGAAGTTTTTCGCTATTTTTTAGAGCCTGAAATATGTGAAACATATATGGTAGCATACATAGTATGGAGCATGTTCCTAATGGAAGATGTCAATTCGATGTGTCGCAATGACAAGCCGGATTTAACAGTCCGGTGAGTGAGGGCGCTTCGTACAAGAGCCAGGTTCTACACGCCCATTCTCTCGCCGTAGAGTGCGCGGTAAAAGCGACAAAGGGCACGTGCGAATTCTAATCGATGAACACGACGTTTGCGCGCCAACCAGTCACGTGTTACGGTTGCGGTCACTCACCGGACTTTCTAATCCCACTAATGAGCCAATGAGTCACGTCGCTCAACGCGCGTCGTGCGCGAAAATGGTGCGACAGTTTCTGTAATGTTCTTGTCTTAGCAATCATAAGCTGTGGAAGGGCGGATAATAATGATGTGATAAAGATCAAATTGCTAACAATCAATCGAAACAACAAGCGCCACCCTAATCCCTGAAGATTAAGCGCTCACAGATATAACGCTTTATGGAATTCATTTGAATTCCTTTTAATTACCTGTCTAAAGTTTAAATAGAGAGTCAAATTTCCGGTTAACCAGGAAAGAATATGCGGCCACTGACACCCGAGGAGCGGCGAGGGGGCTAGCATATGCATGAGCGAGATACGGTTTTTTAGATTACGACAATGGACTAAGCCTACATTTCAACAAATGGATGGTCTGTATGTCATGTTTTCATGACCGGAAACTTCTCTATCTTGGACTCCCCTCAATGCTTGAGCAGTGAAATCCAGCAACGGCGTCGGGCGGTGCGGCGATTGACGTGGGGGCCACCGCCGCCGCACTTGAATTCGTCACGGCACAGCCATTCCTTTCCCTTCTGTCCTTTATGGCCGCGACTTCGATGGATTCTAGAAAGGCTTTATAGTGGACGTGGGGGCAATGTACACCAATGGCGAAAAAATACAGAGAAATACGTCAACACCCGCAAAACAGTACCACAAAATTGCCCGCTCATTTCCGACCATACTTCGTGTGGCGCATATACTCTTGCCATGCGGCCTTCCTTCCCGCAACGCTTCCTTTAATACATACCTGTTATATAAACCCGCTGACTTGGTATGTCGGCTTGCCGGCGCCAGGTGCGCGTGGGTGCAAACCACAGAACACAAGGAACGACGGTCTCCAAGTGAATTCTCATAACTAGTCGATCATCGTTGATAGTTGCTGATTGATAGTTGTAATGACTGACACTGTTAAAATCACCAACTGCGACCGACTAATCATCTCATTGCAGAACCGATTTTGTGAAGACCATCGTGACTTGCGTGGTCGTGGTCTGGACTCGACGAGCACCGGAGACAGGGGACAGACGTGGTCTGAAGGCCGTCCTGCAATGAAGTGGTAAGGAAGCTCATGGAACAGACAACTGCTACCAATAAGGGAGAACTTGAACTATTAATGTTCTGGCAGTGGTATGAATGTAATCACCCACGACACATAATGCGTATGCTGGTGTCATGGTCCGCGATCCGTCGCAGGCCCCGCTGATTTCCGCCACTTGCGCGATTCACGCGACGGGTCACAGAAATCAAAACTGCCCGATCAATGCTGAAGGTGTTCTCCCAATCCTGCCGCCCCTTTCTGCTGAATAGTGATGGCTGACTGACGACTGCTCATGATTCTGTTTCAATACTCAGTGTTTCAAATGCTCAAATGATGCACTTGCAATTTTTGCGATCCGTCGCAGATTCGCGCAAATCGCGAAAATCGTGTGAACGCGTGAATCGCGCAAATCGCGAAAATCAGCAGAATCTGCGCCCCGGATCGCGGACTCTGAGATCGGCCTCCTAAGCCACACCATCGGTCACTCCACGTGGTGCTGCAATGGAGGCTGGAGGGGAGCGGAGAAGAGAGGAGGAGTGAGAGATAGAGAAGAGAGAAACCAACTGCAAACAGACCTAAGGTGCAATTAACACGTTGGCGACCAAGCGGATTTGAGGGGTGTCTGCCGTGTGGGACCACGGAAAACCAGCATGTATTTAATACCTTGCAACAGTTTGTCAACATAGCAAATTTAATGCGCTGATCACGTGATTATGGCATTGATTCGGAGCGTTCGCGCCATTTGGCACCATTTTGGCTCTTAATGGGCGTTATCTTGGCGCCACGATATTTCCCTTGTCAAATTCGGCAAAAACCTATATGTGATAGCTATCCCCTCCGCTGAACACGAATATGACCCTGGTCACGGACTCAAAATCAGCGGCGCCGAAAGGGCTTCAACTGGCGGAAATTTGGCGACGAAAGTCTGCAACTTGAGAGGCATTGCTGTACCGGGGGTCATTAACCCGAATGAAGACGACGTTTTGAATATGCAAGCAAAAGCGATGAATTAAACGCCGATATGCGAACCGAGGATGATGTTCTGCGGGATCAAACCTAATTCTATAAAGACTTGGACTACATAATGATGCTGCTGAGACAGCAGATGTTGTCGAGGCTGCTATAGCATGCTTTTTTTGACGAACATGGTAGTTACTGTATTAGAACACATATAGAAAAGTGGGAACTCGATGTAGTACTTGTGGGGGCTTCTTCTGTATTAAGTACTTCCAAACGCGCCAAAAATTGTGGGATAAATCTCAACTGCTAATTGCGCATATTATGTTTTGTGTTACGTTTGAAATGTAGAAAACAATGTCAAGTGAAAAACCTAATGCAAATGAATATTATTAGCCTTACAGAAGACGAAAGAAAAAAAATATAAGCATACCAATAAGTTGGGGTGAGTTGGGTCGGGTGCCATCGTCCCACGCGGCAGAAACGGTGTCGCGACGTCGGGTACCATTGCCGCCAATGTGTTAAGCATCGAGACGTCGTTTTACGGTCACGTCATCGTTGTGATACCATATGGAAACACTTTATGTGCGTACGCGTTACCTCCACGAAGTAATGGTGTCACAAGTGGAAGAGAGCACTTGGAAAGGGTAAAAGCTACGCAGGGAGGGGAGGTCACGGCGTTTGCCGAGGCCCTCTGGTGAGGAAAAAAGAGAGAAACAATTGTGAGAAAAAAAAGCAAGCATGATATATAAAACCTGAAAAGTCACAGAAGATAGCTAGGAGACACACCTAGAGCTAATTATATTTTGGACTAAGAGATGATCTTAACTGGCTTGAGTTTGATGCAGCTCTTGATGATCCGTGAGAGAAGCAGAGGGCACTAAAAACAACAACATGTGCAAATATCAACTCTGCCTATAACGCTGCAATTAAGATCCCGCCTCCGCGTTTACATGAGATAATTCGAAATGGTATTTATAACAGACCGTAATGGAGGTACAAAGATCATTTTTGCAAATACTGGTGACCGGAAGCTTCAGCGTAATCCTCGTGGAAATAAGCATAAGAAGAACAATGGCACTCAGAAGTACTGACTGGCCGCGAGGGTTTCGAAAATTTGCACTCCCCACACAGAGAAGTACTGTCGAAGGAGTCGTAGTCGTTAACTGCCTTCATCGTGAAGACGATACTGATTCTCGCGCCAATTTGACACTATCCGACACCGACAGTACGAATTTGTGGCCAAGTTAGTTTCGTTTGCTTTGACGCTAAAAACGTATTTCACATCTCTGAACAGGGCACTCATTAGCCCACATATACGACGGATGTGATTCGCTACAACAGGAAGCGACTTTTCCGTAATGTGCATTTTTTTTGCGCAAATCGGAAAATGGACGGGAACCCCATATTTACGATCGTTTGCGGACTACTTGAACTCGTCCCTCAAACCGCCTCAATTCGATTTTCACGCCTGCACTCTCTACTAAACAGCGGCTCACGACTACAGTGGTTTCGAACACTCAAAATTTTGCCATGTTATGACTCACCACCCCGCGGTGTCTCCTAAAAGGCCCGTCGCGGGGCGAAGGAAGAGACGCGGATGCGGCGAAGGACGAGTCGCAGCACGTGGTGTCCGATATAATACATAGTATGGTACACTCTATTTAACCTGACGCCTTACCGCTAGAGTAGCGCTATGACTCGTCCTTTGCCGCGTCTCTGTCTCTTCTTTCGTTGCGCGACGGCCTCTTGAAGGACATCCACATCCGGCGTCCCTACTCCTCTCTAAAGCTTAGTTTGAGGCTCTCACCTTCATGCTTGGATTTGAAACCGAGCCAGGCGCCGTTCTCTAATCGTCTATGGTCAACGGACCACTTGAACTCGGTCCTTTAAGCTGCCTCAATTCACGCTCTTGTCTGCGCTCCTGCTCCTTATCAACGGCTCGTGCCACAATAACCCACACACACACAAACTTTTGCCTGTAGTGGCTCAGCCTCCTCTGGGTCCCTCCCCTACAAGGCTTAGTCCTCCTCTCGCCTTCTTATGATCCAGAGCCGATCCAAGCGCCGTTCTCTACTCGTCTGTGCTCTCCACCATTCGTGGCAGAACCACAGAAGAAAGTTCAAGTAGTCCGTAAACCAATCAGTTCCGAGCTGGGAAAACGGAATTCGTTTTCTGTCGTGGTGAACCACACCAAGCTACGAGTTTCAATGGGACTAAAAGGGAAGAAGATATTCCGCACAAAATCGGACTCGAGGTAGAGAATTACAGCTTGAGGTAAAAAATCACACCTTGCCTCCATGCGCTTGAAGACGCAATTGGATCAACCTCTCTTTTTCCGCCTGTCTTTTCTTCAAAGCTTGTCGCTCCTCCTCAGACTTCTTAGCAAGATAGGCTAACACTTTTGCTTTGTCCTCTTCAGATTCCTTCCTTCGTTTCGGTATTGTGAACTGAAACAGCGACAGCCATTATCACAAAACTGATTAATGCGATCGCAATACTTATGAAAGAACTCACCTTTCTTTCTTCTTCAGTCGGTACTACAGTCTCCTTTTTTCGCTTAAGAGACTCCATTTTCACTTTTTTCTCCGCCTCAATGCGCCTCAATTCTGCGCGCTTCTCATTGTCGACCTCACTTTTCAAAACGTCCAACTTTTTGGACAAGCTCTTCGCATTCTTATTGGCAGTGTCCAACAGCTGCATAAAATCCATGATAGATCTGCCTTTCCTCAAACGGTCTCAAAAAGCTGCAAATAATATATTTTGTGACAGCACAATTGTATCATTCACAACAAAAGCAAGCCGTATGCGAGCGTACAAAGTGGAGGGAATGTAGAACAGGGCCTTTGAACCAACAGAACGACACGCGAACTGAAGTAAATAAATATTACAACAGGAGTTCATTCCAATACTGAGAGAGAGATAATTAGGGACCACAATCGCTCACTACTTCAACAAGCGGTCGCGTCGTGGTCTTCAGCTAGAGCGCGGCAACGAACGCGGATAAATCTTGGAACGATTCTTTCGACGTGAAATAAAACATTGTCCGCAAGTGCACAAGAACGAGGAAGATGAGCATGTTCGTATTTTGAACATTATTGTGGTACTCATTGCATGACTAAATATAATGTAATGAGGCAAATCTGACTGGTATCACAAGCTCATGGCCAAATATATGGAAGGATCCGTAGCTCGAAGGCACTACGCACGATCCGCTCGGAAATGAAGCCGCCGGCAAATAACTTGGCGATTTATTTGGGAAAGGGATGATACAAAGAAAAGCGTTGAATGGGTCTTCAGCTGCTTGAGGAGGTATTTCCGGCATGTTTAGTGTTGTTTTGTATCAGTCTCAAGCACAGTGTTAATTCCAAGCAACTGTCTAAAAAATCAGTGGGCCCAAATTTACCGTTTGAGTATCACGACGGTGGCTAAGTTCTACAAATTGTCACGGTTTACTACATCTCTTATATTTTGTAGCGATGATTGTTTCTTCCGTAATAGTAGTATCTAAAATCAATACCCAAAGAATAACCGAGAAAGGAATTGTATGTATTGCTCAGCTTTATTGTTCATCGATTTTTGTGCCAAAAAACGCAAGTTCATTTGCTGCCAGCGATACGGTTCATCATGGTTCCATCCCACTGTGTAGCGATAAGGAAATTGCTTGTGGTGAATGTTGTTGGGCTTGGTAAGACCTTCTTAGTGTGAGACACAGCGTTCTTTTTCGCCAGAGTTTAACGGTGATATCTTTAAGCGCTTCAGGTCTGCTGAGCTGAGAAATACTACGAATACAGCATTCTGAACATTCTAGAAAAATAGGAGAGGTAGTGCTCCAAGCGCTTCAACCGGGTAGGTAACCACAGCTGGAGTCAGATTGTCATAGTAGTCCTTTTTGTATGAGGGTACTCATAAGGTGAATTTAATGTTTTATTTCTGAGAAAGTCATCGTTCTCAAAAAGAAGTGAAGTGTCACTACTTCTTTAATCTGTTTGAGTATTCCAACTTGATGCTAGAGTGTCAGACTTGAAGTTAGGTTTTTGCTATTTGGAAGCTCCAGTGAGTGCTCGCGGTGTTGGTCCCAGGATTTAATTGGGTCCACATGAGCATATGGTACGAATTTAGAAGGTGTGTTTCGAAGTTGCCTGTCTCTTTGATGGCCATATTGGATGGAATAAAAAGCTTAACCTTAGGTACCAGAAAAGGATGTGGACTGCAGAGGTGGGTGAGGCACTTAAACATGTGGTTAAAGTGTACTCAAGCCGCAGTAGTCGCGAACTGGCGTTTGGGCGAGAGAACGTATAGCCTTGGGCGATACTCCGATCCAGTAGTCGTCGAATACTCGAGAGTCCGTAGGCCTTCTGTATGCGTATGCGAAAGTTGCGACATCTGATTCTTTAAATTGTCGCATTCTCAATGGTCTAAGTTAGGGCTGGGAATTTTGGGCAATACATTTTAACCCAGAGAACCACGATTATTTTCATTCGCCCAAACTCCCGCGCATGAGGCTGGTATCACGAGTTGAAGCTGTGTTTGCCGGCCTTAAAGGTAATGGGTTTTTCTTGCAACTTTTGACGGAGCAGCTGTAGAGTAGGGACGAGGACGTACCTATACAACTAAACAAATTACCTTCCACTCTTAAGCTAAAATGACTACTACAAGACTCGAGCGTGAGGTAGGATGCCTCTCGTGCACTTGCGGATAGACTTGCTTTATTTCACGTCGACGGAATCGTTCCAAGATTTATCCGCGTTCAAGTTGCTGCGAGGGGCCGCGCCAAACGACATACACCCGGGTTCAAGTAGTCACGTAATCGCTTAGAGAGCGTTTGCGTTGATGAGGTCAACACGAGACACAACTAACGTGCAGACCAACCGGCTCGCGGGTCAAACTTCTCGAAAGAGGTTGTTTGTCTTGGTTTTTTTTTCTCATCCATTCATCACTAACGACCTGTATCTTGATTTCTAGTGGGCTGCATTTTCATCATAAACCCCACCACTACTGACCAAGAACGGGAGGATAAACCGCTGTCGTGCATAGCCTTGGTCGGGAGTCCAACAGGTTTCATTTGTCCACTACCAGGAAAATCCAGAACTCATCATAGGAATTCGCTCCACAAAAGCTTGGGATTTCGTACCACTAATACAATGTGAGGGACTCCACCTTTGAGGATTAATCTGACACTCTAGCCGGTTTTTTTCAAATCGCACCTCATTATTCTCACTCTCCTTTAGTTGAGCTTCTACAACTCCAGGCAAATAGAATCAGTATTCATGGAAGCTTGACACATCTCATCATTAACACGAACGGCAACGAATCAAAATATTTACTTCTAAAATTCATCTCATTTGAAAAAAAAATCAGTCAGAAACTCATGAAGAAAACAACAGAAGAATCGAAGGAACAATAACTGAAATAGAAGATCATAACTTTACAGAAGCTTTTATGAGAAGTCACTGGAAACAGTTTCACCACATCACGCAGAGCTTTAATCTAATTAAGGCTCTAAACTTTTCGTCTGTCAAAAACAGTGAGCTCAGCTATGCCGAGTTTTACAAAAAAGCATCCAAAATTGCAGATACCCGCAACATGGCAGCCTAGCTGCCTCGTAACTCGTTTCAGAAAAAAAAACTGTATAAACAACTTGGGTGATAACAATAGAACACCAAACAGCCGAAACCTATTAAAAACAGAACATTATTAGGTTGATAATTTAGGTTTGATCATCATCACAGATTCCTTCGGATGAATAACCTTTCTACTGTAGCCAGTTGCCAGACTCTGATATGCGTACACCATATAACGATGGATCGGTGTCACGTCGCCGTACACTCCATTCAAAGCAACACCGCCGCACTTTTCATGCCACCATCCACTGTAAAAACAAAAAGTGATCCGGGTCATCTATCCCACTCTCTCTATCTCTATCTGTCGCGAAGAAGGCAGGCGGAGTGATGGCGGGCGGTCGTATGTTGCTAAAACGGATGTGAGCGGCGGTCGTATGTCTTCTAGTAACCCATTCACAGGATTACGGGGCACATACGTAACGTCACGTCACAGGAGACACATCGCTTAATTCAGTCCTTGGTTAGTGCAATTAGTGCATGTTCCAAAACAGTCTGTATCCATTATCGGATATATGAGATCGTGTATTCCATTCAATGATAAAGTGATGTTAAATTAATTACTGTCAATGAAAAATTATGAAAAGATGAGTATAAGCGAGCGCACAGCGGTTCTCAACACATGAAGAAAGTTTGGGGTTTGATTTTGTCCAACGCATTCTCTACCTTTTAGATGTTACTGGATAAAACGGATCGAAAAGCAATGACCATTTCGAAAACAGTTGACCAATGCGGTGACGGGTATGTGCCAAGAGTATACATCGTGGTGTACGCATGCCAAAATTTCCGGTATTCCTCAAAGCCGTTCAAACCAAACTCGACTAGCATGAAGGATTCCTCGAAATTCGCAGTTCACTATCAAGTATGTTCAGCAGCGGAAAAGATTTCAGAAGTGAGTTTACAGAAGGAACTTCTGTAAACTCACTTCTGAAATCTTGTCAAAAAGTCAAGAGTCAAAAATTTTGAGCACAGATTACAGCAGACAATGGGCGGATTGGACGGCTCGACTAATTAATTGCGCGAATACAGCGCGCGCGGATATTCACTGTTTACTTTTAAAACATACTACTCACTGACAGTTTCGTTCCCTTCAAAGCGACAAGAGCACACCTTCAAATTTTCTTGTGAAGAATCCAAAGTCTTCATTTCAAAAATGGTAACATAATGTAGAAGGTTGAGGTTTGCACAGCCACGCCAAACAGACTGTCCCAGGATGTCTTACAACACTCAACTTGCAAACAGCCACCACCACATAAGCTTACACCCCACACAAGCGCCATGGTGACGAATGCCGAGTAGTGCACAAGACATTTCTCAGAATCTCACGTCTAATTACATTAGGATAATGTTAAAGAGTCATTCGAAGGCCCCTGCGGTTGAGAAACACCAAGTCAAAAAATAGCTAAGCAACAACAAACCCATGATTTCGGAATTTAGCACAATTCACGCCGGCATCATCGTTATCCCTATCGATGGTTGTGAATGGATGACCATTGTTGCGTTGCAAGAAATCTTCTGAATTTTCATCTGTGAGATTACCACCGATCACTTTGCCTATTTCGAGCAGATAAAGTTGCGAGGCGTCACCAAGCTAGAAAATATTGGATTATATGCAGAAAGAAAACATAACCACCATCCTACGAGATCGCTAACCTTGAAGGGCCACTCTGACCCACCAATAACCGTCACTTTGACCACTACAGCCACGACCATCG